CGTCGGCTTCCTGGTGAAGTAACGCGTGAGTAACCCGCCCGTCATCATCTCGGACCTGATCCGGGGAGGAGCTGCAGAGCAGAGTGGCCTCATCCAGGCTGGGGACATCATTTTAGCCGTCAATGGCAAGCCCCTGGTGGACATGAGCTATGAGACCGCACTGGAGATACTGAGAAGCATCGCCTCCGAGACCTACGTGGTCCTCATCTTGCGGGGCCCTGAGGGCTTCACCACTCACCTGGAGACCACTTTTGCAGGTGACGGGACACCAAAAACCATCCGTGTCACCAGACCCCTCTGCCCGACTCCGAAGGCAGTCGACTTGTCCAATCCAAGCCTGCACAGCAAAGAGCAGCCACCGCCCGCAGCCGACCGCACCATGGGATCCCTGTGGACAAGAGAGATGGGGCGGGAGGTGGAGCCGATGGGCCACCGTAACAGGCGCAGGGCAGGATGGTGGGAAGGGGAAGGAGGGTGCTTGTGGTCACCCTTGCCTCAACGGCGGCGTGGAAGACAATGAGCTGCTCAAAGAAATCGAGCCCGTCCTGGATCTCCTGAAGAGCAGCAGTAAGGACAGCGATGGAGATGCACCCTCCAAGGTAGAGACAAGAGATATAGAAGTCCAGGTGGACTGGTAGGTCCTTAAATACATTTTTTTACATTTGGTGAAACGTGCTGGTTTTGGCTACCCAAGGCAGCTGGTTTAGTTGTCGGTGGGCACCTCTCCAGAAATGGCTGCTGTCTGACACAGCAGGATGGAGATGGAGAGGAAGGGATGCAAAAAAAAAGAAGGGGAAGGGGTTGATGAGGGGGAGATAAAAGGAATGAAAAATTGGGAGTAGGTGGTGGAAGAAAGGAAGAAGGATGTGAGCGTGGGAAATCAGGGAGACAGCAGGAGTCACATCTCGTGGAAAGATGTGGTGGGTCGTGGGCTGGGCTAGGATTTGTTTCTGTTCCGTGTTCTCAATCTCACTTGTTTTAAGCTTTAAACAAAATCCCGTGCCTCAGTTTCCCCACCTGCCAGATCAGACTCATGGTATTGTCTGTCCTTGCCATTCCACTTTGGAGCTCTCCCCTTGAAATCTGCTATTGATTAACTGCCGGAGTGGGAGGAGGAAGGTCAGACGGGCAGAGTACGATGCTTCCCAGGAGAAACGAGTTTCAAAAACCTTCTGTGCTTTTGGCAGTCAGGCTCTGGTTTGAGGAGGGGAGAGGAGAGCCCTCATCCAGCTCCAGCTGAAGCCAAGGGGACTCCTGTGCAAGGACAGGGGGACCTCTCCCGGGTGCTCCCATCTTCCACCAAGGGGGGGAATGTTTCCCGTCAGGAGCTCAGAAACACCCATCCCTTGTTGAAACACAACAGCAGGGCCGTTGGATTGAAATATATTATTTCAATACCCGTACGACAAGAGCGGGGACGTACGGTTGTTGCGTGCTCTTGAGGAGGGTGAAGTCCCACCACGAGAGTGGAACTGCTTCATTTCTGATATTTGCTTCTGCAAGGGGCCATGTGCGCGGCGTTGCCGTTTCCCTGCCGTGTACACCATGGCTGCGGAGCCAAAGCAGCTCCCTGCGACCCTTCCTGCTTTGCAAAACGTTCTTGGTAGCTATTTTATTATTTTGTTTTTTCTTCCGTACCGGCTCTCTCACCTCCTGGCCATTTATTAGCCGTGATAAGTTGGCCCTTCCTGCTTTGCAAAACGGTCTTGGAAGCTATTTTATTTTATTTTTTTTTTATTCCATACCGTCTCTCTCGCCTCCTGGCCATTTATTAGCCGTGATAAGTTGCCTCTTCCCGTTGCCTTTCCCCAAGTCCCCGAAGGCGTTTTAGCAGCGGCGAGTGCCGCAGCGGGTTGTGGCTGCCCTTGGTTATTCGACCGGCTGTAAAAGCCTCCTGGGTCCGCTCGAGCTGGTGATCTCGATTCCGTGACGGAGGGATTTGTAACTTCAAATTCCCTTGCTGCACCTTCTTCCATAGGGAAGGGGGAAAAAAAATTGTATTCTTTTTTTTTTGATCGGAAACTTTCTCTCTCTGGAATGGGGTACTTTTCTTTTTCCGCGGAGGACACGGTTACTCAAAGCCTGTTTGGGTGGTCCCCAGGTCTCAGCATGTTCAGCTGCTTTCAAAAACCCTTGGTTTTGGTCTCTGGAATTTCACCCCTTAAGCCCAGCACTCTCCATGGAAGGCTGAGGGCTACTTGCCTGGACCACACATGCTTTAATCCTGTATAAACCCATCCCTGGAGGAACCTGGTTGAAGGAATCAAAGAATTGAGACCTTGAAGGGGTTGTGCTTGGTGACAGGTCCAACAAAATACACAGGGGTGCTTAAAAGTCCCTTCTGTCCCTCTGTTTTGTGGTGGAGCTGGGGTCATAAGCTTGGGACACGATCCCAAGCATTGATAGAAGGTACAGCCTCACCCTTTGAACTGTCCCCCGCAGTGACTCCATCCCATCCCATCCCACCAGTTTTAGGTTCTCCAAGGAAATTCTGCTTTGGCTGAAGGAAAGGATGAAAAATGTGATATTTTTCTTTGAGGAGTCTCTTCTACTCATAAAGAGATTAAACCAAAACACTTTGAATTCACTTAAACTGAAGGACCTCAAACCAGCAAGAATATTAGCGAAGTAGGTACTTCACCAAAACTCCGTTCGCTTTATTTTTCAATATACTTAGAAAAAAATATTCTATGTAATCTATGTACCTCGGGACTGAAAATCCACTTCTCAGCCAAAATTAGTCTTCAGTCTTTCGCTTGATGAAAAGCTGCAGCCTCTCTCCTGCAGCAGGACTCTGTAGGAGCCAGAAGACCCGGGCTTGAGCGGAGAAGTGGAGAAGGAGATATACTGCAGGGAAAACTCGTTGAGAGCCACTCTGCAGGGTAAAGGGCATTTCTCAGCCGTCTGTCCTCCCACTCCTGCGACGGGCTGGAGATGATTCACCTCCTCTGCTTGGTCTCAGACAGAGCCAGGGCATCGTGAAGGTCTTCTAGAGTGAGAGTTTTCTTGGTCCATAGGAGAACTATGGAAAGGTCGGGGAGCAATGGGGAGCGGGTAACTGAGGAGGCTGTGTTGGTTGATGCCAAAGAAATGCCAAAAATAAATAAGCAAGGCTTATCAGATTGATGCAGCTCCAGCGCTGTAGGCTGCGACTTCTCCAGGCTTGAGGGGGGAGGCAGCAAAGCTGGCGTTACTCAGGACAGGAATAGAGCTCTACCTAGACCCCGGGAGAGTGCAAAACCTCGCCCAAGGTTGAGCTTGACACCTGCAGCCTGGACCACTTGACCATCGGTCCAGCTGGAGATGGTGGTCTCGGGGCCAATCTTGTTCTGCCTCCGTCTTCTCCTGGTGCTGACCTTCACAGCCTGTGGCACTTTGTCAAAGCTGGTCCGGCTTGCAGAGCTGTGACAGCTTTCCTAGGGCAGAAAGGAGTGGTACAAGTTTGAGATCATTCACAAGGAGCCGAATGCTCCTTGTTCAAGGTGGGCTTTGTCGAAATTGACCCCAAAACTACACCCGATGCTTTGGGCTTCCAGCCCATGTCTCTAACGCTACTTGCAAGGAAAACTGGAAACTCTGAAGTTTGCTTTGGGGAGAGGAAAATCAGTTCATCTCCATCCCCTGCACCCATGGTCTGCACTCCCGGGGCGAGTTGTCCGTGCGGTGACCTGGCTTTTGCTCCCTGCTGATTTCCAGCTGTAAGGTGCCCTGGGTCCACGGCGTGTGCCCGTGGGATGGGCTGCGACCGCGGCTGAATGTCCACTACTGGGCCGAAGTCATCCGTGATGAAGTCGATCAGCGGATGGAAGTGGGGCGCAAGGTATGATGAGAGCTGGCATTTCTGCCATCAGGCTCACCGTGGGCTAGAAAACAAAAATAGAGTTTGATTCACTGGCTGCCAGCTAACCCAGGTCTGTTTTTCCCTCTGAGCTCTAGGGAGATTGTCATGTCCCATCTTCCCTCCCTCTCCCCCCCTCCGCCGAGTTGCCAGTATTTATTTTCCTTCTCAGGTTTATTCCATAACATGAACAGCATGATGGAAACATGGCAGTTTCGACCCGAAAAGCAGCATCAGCAGCCCTGAGAGGGAGAAGTGTGCTGAGAGCAGGAATTCTGTTTATGAAGGGTTTCAAGGTTTCAGGCTCCATCCTGCATTGGAACAAACCCCATAATTTTGTGGTTCTTGAAGAGAAAATTCTCTTCCTCCCACCTCCTTCGCCGCCGCCAAAAATCCCTTTGTGTTGCTCAAAACATTTCATTTGCATTTCTGATGCCATCGTTATTCTGTACTTGGCCACGAAACTTTAAAACCTCTGAAATGAAAAGGTTCCCTGAAACTCTCGTGTTATTGCCGTTCCGCAAAGCGGGGAAGGAGGAAGCTTTGGCAGCGAATAACCCTCCCTGTCTCCCTCGGAGGCTTCTTCTTCCTTGTCACTCTGACTACGTCAGTCTAACCCAGAGAGGCATTTGGTGCCTCCAAACAGCATATTCCCCCCAGACATACCCCTCTCAGACCCAGCTCCAAAGCCACCGTCACCCACGCAGCCCCCTGTGCTGATGCTGCCTCTTGCATCCCATGGGACGGCCGTTCTCCTTGGTGGTCCCAGCAGACGAACTCGTGGCTCTATGCTCTCCTGGAGGACCTGAACCACCTATGGCCTTCCGATAGGATGGTGAGGCTGGAATTCTCTGGGTGCTCTTTGGGCATGGCTGGGGAGGGACGAGCACAGTGGTTGCAGGTTGCCTCTAATGCTGGCTGAACCTCAAATGATGCTGATGGGACTTTGGGATCGCTGGGATCTGTTCCCAGGTCTTTATCTGTCAAGGCCTACTCAACGGTGTTTACCAACCCCTGTTGCACGGGTCTCTCTCCAAGGCTGCTCTGTGCAGCTCACCTGGCTCGTTAGTCCCTAAGCCCGGCTCCGGGCACAGCCCAGCGACACTCTGACCTTCTGAGGGTGCAAGATCCTCTTCAAGCTGTGCCACATGCCGGTCGGCAAGGCTTTTGGTCCTCTTCCTTCGGCACCGTTCAAGCTCCTCTTTCTCATTTAGGAAGTGGTTTCTTGCCTTGATCGCTCTGCAGTCGCCCTCTCCGGGCACGCTGGCCCTGCCGGCTCTCTGGAGAGCACATCCCACCTTTTGGAGTTCTTCCTTCTGCTTCCAAC